TGGGAAAAGAGTGGGGCTTCTATGGGCGGAGACTGGGGGGAGGGGGCGACGGTGGGGTGCGGAAGAGAGTTCTCTTCAGTTTTAGCTTTAAACACGGGCTTTTGTAGCACTGAAGTCTGTGCCGCTGGGGGAGGGAGGGAAAGACCCATCACTCCTCCCCTTGGATCCGCCTATGTACACAGTCATTTTTGGGCTTTGTCTTTTAACAGTAAGCATAAGGCAGTACTGCCTCACAAGCCTCAATTAATCGCATTGCAGCGCAGAGTGGTACACAGAGACCTGAAGCTGGAAAATGTCCTTTTGGATGCGAATATGAATGTAAAAGTTGCCGACTTCGGATTCTCCAACTATTTCAGCAAATTGGCCAAACTGAACACCTTTTGCGGCAGCCCTTCTTACTGTGCTCCAGAAATCATCAGCGCAAATCCATACGAAGGTCCAGAGGTAAAGCCTCATCACTGAGGATTGCAAAATCAAGTTCCCCCACTGAGTTTCCATAATAAGGAAGTCTTTCGCATACGAAAAAATAAAATAACTTGCACAAAGTTGCTTTCCAGGTCGATTGCTGGAGTCTCGGCGTTCTTCTTTATGCGCTTGTCTATGGTCAAATGCCATTTGGCTGTAGCAATAATTTTGTGACGGCCCAGAATATCAAATATGGCACATATTTCGAGCCTTCCCCTCCTTCAAGTACAGTTTATCAAAAATAAAACACAACTCGCATCGACTAAAATGCAAATTTGCAACTTCCTTGTATTTTTTTTTCTCTCTCTCTCTCTTTGAAAGGCGGAGAAGCTCAGAAGCAGCCTGATTAGCCGACAGTACACACCCCTTAGCAAAGCTGTCGATGGTTGCCTCTTTCAGGATTGCTTACAAGCAAGTTGATAACGAGTCAACACCTTGGCATCCGCCACTACCAATTTACCATTGAAACGAATGAATGAATAGTAGAGAACTAGGCTGCTTTACTACCGGAGGCTTTTCATAGGCTACTTTTCACTGCATTATACTCACCAACGTATCGTGTAAATACCAGAAAAATTCTCGTTCAACAGCACACGTTTTTTTGCACAAGCGCAGACTGGGCATCGGCATGCAACACCAATATCAACTGCCCGAAACAATTCTATGTTAAACTGCTGCACAAACAAGTATTACCAGCAAATATGTAAGCTGGTCATATCTAGTCACAGTAA